TTTATAAATGTTTGTTTTATTGAACCCATAGAAAATTTACAATTATTCCTTAAAACTATTTAATGCTTAAACAAACTAAAACAAGCTTTAATTACATTTTTTGATACACATAATGGCCAGGCTGGGCAACGCAATGCAGTACAACTTTCTTATAAATTCTTGCTCTTTCGAGGTAATTTCAGTTTTTTTTCATCACAAGTCCAAGGTTTATCCCCTTACGCTATCGTAAGGAATATCTAACTTTTCTGTTCAGTCACATAATAAGACCCTCCATACAGTAGTTGGTCATCTTTCGGTGGTGGCGTCGCAAACTATACTAGACTCTCTCTCTTTTATTAAAACATATAGTATGCGTCCTTATTCACTTGCTCTTACGGAAAAAAAATTTACTAAATAACATAGTAATTTACAATAATTCAAATTGTATTCTGTAGATGGCAGCATTGTAAAAATTAACATACTGTAAGTCTAGTCCTGGATTACGATGTTACTATAGTAATTTTTCATAGGATTTTTTTTCCGTGTATACTATTTTTAACAATTAAAATTCTTAACTTCGTATTTAATAATTATAAAATAAATTTAATTATTTAATAATAAATTTTCCACGATCATTTTTTGCATAATTAAAATTTTGATTCTCAAAATCAATTTACACTTTTTTTCAAATATTTATAAATCAAATTAATAAAAAATTTAAAAATGAATAAAGAAGAAAAATTTTAAATTTACTAAAAATAAATATATCCTGACGTAATAAGACTTTCTACAGAAATTTTTTCGGGCATTTCCGAGTCATTTAACCCTTTCAAATAATTCACTGTCTTTTCTATCAGCATTCCAATCACAAATTTTCTTTCTCCACTTTTCTTCTGACAGTAGACAAAATTTCTTAGTCTCAAATTTTTGTCACTCATCTGCAAACAATATCAATAATTAATTTGATCCATTATAAGAATTTACAATACAAAGTATAAGTAAAAAATAACAACCTTCTCGTTGTAAGCACAATAAATATGATCATCCAAAGCTTTGCAAGGACTGACATTGATGTCGGTCTCATTAAACGCAGGAACAAAGCAATGCGCGAAGTCAATCAATCCATCGTCACTTAGCGCCATTTCGACTATCAAATTTTCCTTTCTGTACCCGCAAGGATCGATGTAAGTGAGGACCAACGCAGCCGTTGACAGTTCCGAGAGATCCGAAGATACAACCGGCTGATCAGTGATCAATAACGCGATTTTGGACACAATTATATTGAGATTTTCTTGTATGCCCTCAGAAAAGTGAACATTGCTCTTGTTTATCGTGGCCACGTTAACGTACACGCCTAAAACGTGTCGGTAATTTACGGTAATGTGAGCATCACTCACATTAAGTCCCCTAAAAAAATCATTAATGATTATTCTATTATTAGTAAAATAATAATAATAATTATTATAATTATTTATTTTATACGAACCTTTGAACGCACTCAGCTTCTGCAAGAAGTGATTGCGGCGAAATAAGAACAGCTTCGCAGTTTTCCTCACTAAATAAATTCCCATCAAAATTAATTTCCCAAGAATTTAAAGTTTTATTTTCGTGCGCGTTTGAGTGTGTCAATTTAATGACAAATAAAATTAATAGAAACATCAATCGTTTATCCATTGTTAAAAGTCACTTTTTGTAAAATTTTTAATTCGATCAAAGTTAACTAACGTCCAAGTAGTTTCTGTTACTGTCACGACAGAACTATTTTATCTGCAGTACTTAATCACCTGCGTTTTAATTTATGGTTGAGGTCATTAACGATTAATTGGATGGTCAATCAAAAAATTTTTTATCACTTTTAAGAGTGATAAAAGAATTTATAGAATTCAAGTAATAGTTTTTATATAAAAAATTTTTTAATTAAAGATTTGTAGTAAATTCCAATCTGTTGTAATTTTTTAACGTGAGATATGTAAATAAATTATTTAATATCAATTATTAATAGGTAAAGATTTATATAAGGTTTTATATGCTTCATATATGAAATAATATGATTATATGTGTTCTTAAAAAATCATATGTGACCTCAAATACTCACATGAAGCCTTATATATGCTTCATTTTTTCATTATATATGGTCTTATATGCTTCATTTCTGATTATATATGGCTTTATATGATTAAATATGGTTTTATATGCTCAATATGTGATTTTATATGTCCTAAATATAAACTTTTATGATTATATGTGATCTTATATAAATATTTAAGGTCTTATATACTTCAATTAAGATCATATTTGGTTTTATATGCTTCATTTCTGATTATATGTGGCTTTATGTGATCATATGAAGTCTCATACAATAATTTGGGGCCTTATGTACCTCATTTATGATCAAATGTGGTTTTATATGGTCAATATGTGATTTTATATGCCCTAAATATAAAAATTTATGATCATAAGCGGTCTTTTATGAAGATTTAAGGTTTTATATGCTTCATTTCTGGTTATATGTGGCTTTATATGATCAGATGTGATCCCACATGCTTTACATGTAATTTCATATGATCATCGATGATTTACATTGTTCATATTTGATCTTATATAATCATAAGTGGTCTCACATCAACTTTGGACTTGAACTTTTAAAAAATAGTTAATATTGCCCTTCTATAAAATGAATAGAATAAAATAGTGTAAACTTAGAACTGACTTAGAACATAAAGAATGGCTTTAAAATTTAACGTAACACACTCGCGAATAAAGCAGTTACGTATTTATACATAAAAATAAAAAATCCTCGGGTGGAAAAAGCCAGAGAATAAAGAGAAAAATAATCCTGAGGGATGTCAGCTCACAAGGTTTGCATATGAAAGCTCGAATCGATACACCTTCATAATATACTCAGACACTTGCTTATCTCCGACTACTACGACTCTCCATTACCATTTTTTTCACACAACTTCTTATCCTTGATCTGGCTCCTGGCTTCTGGCTCTGGTTCGAAATCCTCCTTCCAACAGAAAATCAAACCTCGAGAAATAAAAAAAAAAAAAAAAAACGGTGGACGTGGGTGGACGTGGAACAGCTGAGCGTAAAACAAATAGTTAATCAATTGGATTTATACATACTAAGTAGTACAGCCTTTACTTAAACTTTATTCCAGCAAGTAAAGCCACTCCAGAAATTACAATCAATCGGGCTCTGATGTCGAAAAAAACTAAAAGCTGTACTTTAAGACCTTTTTCTTCTTCTTTCTCGAGAGTCTATCTCTCAGCTACAAAGATTAACCGATACGTCTCAAGAAATCCTAAAGAGAACGTTCCAATTAGGATCTCTTTATCTAGTCGCCCTTCTTTTTTTCCTCCTCCTCTTCCTCCTCCTTTTTGTTCTTGCTCTTCTGCTCATCTCTCTTTCGCCTTTTTGATACCCGGTCTCTCTCGGATTTTATTTAATCTTTCACAACTGCGGCAAACAATAACGGCGACATTTTAAAAGTTCGCGAACAAGTTCAATTCATACCCGAGATTTATCATCTCCTTTAATCTTTTCTCGTATTTACTTGTTTACTTTTTAGTTTAGCAACTGTCACTCGAATTAATTCCAAACTCCGATTAATAGATGACGAGAACCAGTCGCTTAGCTGGAGTTTCGAGAATACGTCGCTGAAAAATTGCAATAAAAAATTTAAATATACTTTTTTTAAAAAAAGACAATTGAAGAAAAATTTTTTTTTTCTTTAAATCAATATTCTGTCTAAAATATAAAAAATTTTTAATTTCCAACAAAAAAGGTCTTTTATCATTATTGTAACTTCAATATTTAACTCAAAATTTTTACAAATATTTTTGTTTTAATAAATTTAAAAAATAATTAGTAAGGACTTTAAAACTCGTGTTTTTTCTAAACAAAAAGAATTACGAAAAAATTGGTAAGAACTTTTTTGGAGAAAATTAAATTTTTAACAAAAAATGTTTCTTATAATTTTTTCGTAAGTTTAATATTTTATCCAAAATAATCTATATTATTAAGAGAATAAGCAAAATTTTATGGCCGGTGTATTTACATGATAAAATGGGTTTTTATGGTATTGAGAAATGACCTTGTATCTAGTGATCTATTGAAATTTTCGAAGATATAAGCTCATTCCGATGTAATACTCATCAAGACCTTTCATTTGAGTACCCACATCAATTTTTCATATATTTATATATATATATTATATATATGTATATATGAAAAATATATCAAGAATGCATGTGGGTACTCAAATGAAAGCTCTTGATGAGTGTAACATCAAGATGAGCTTATATTTTTAAAAATTTCAATATTTAAAAAAGTACAGTGCAATTTAATCAAAGTCATTATTTAATAAAGTAAAATTTTATTTATTTATATTTCACAAGTCACGAAAGTCGCATAGTGACTGCAAAGTTACTAGTAGTAATAAAAATTTTTATTAAAAAATGTTTAAATAGAATACAAAATTTTTTTCTAAAAAAAAAAAATCATGGGAAAGTATAAAAGTAAGGAAGGGTAGTAGTGGCCAAGTGATTTTCCCTCTAAATTACCCGTCAAATTGGCCTGAAAGGCAGTTTACGGGTTAATCGTTCGGAATGGCATTGTTTAACAGCCAACGGTTCTTTTGGTCATCTCGCGGACTTCCTTTCTCATGCATAAAAAAATGACAAAAGACCCTCACAATGACAAGTAGTCCAACTCTACATCTCCTAATACCTTGCATTCAGTTTCTTACATTCAATTTCTCCTATTTAATTCCACAACCGAATTCTAATTCACTATAAACTACAAAATCTCACCAGTATAAGCCTTGTATTTACATATGAGCCACTGTTTGTAATTACCGCGAAAGGTTTCGGCGCAAAAATGCGGATTGCAATGTAATGAAATAGTGCAGCTTTGGCCTCGGGACGTAGTTATTGTTTTTGCGATGGGTAAACGGTAAAAGGTTCTTTAATCTCGCGTGATATTAAATTATCGATTGGATAACGTATGCGACGAATGCACTTTGTGGGGTGCATTTTTATGGAAAAAAATCCTTTTGCTCTGTTGTTGCTGTTTAAAATAAAATAATTGAGATTATAAATCTTTATATGGAAGTTAATTTTTCTTTGTTGGATAGTTTTATTGCACTTTTATGAATAAACATTCAGTGACCACTGCGTTGTGTCACTCGCCACATAAAAGGCGAGACGCTAAAAATTTCTAACCGCAACGTCAATGAGAAAATAAAATAAACTATTATACTACTTGCACAATTTTTATGTTAAAGATTTATGCATGCATAAAAATTCATTTATTGATTAAAAAAATTTTATTATTATTTAATAATTGTTGAAAAATTATTTTTAATCGTGAATTATTTGTCGTAAAAGTGAATTTTTCTTTAAAGTAAAAAAAATAATAAAGAAAATCCATCAATAAATCATTTCGTCGACATCTAGATGGTGATCCTTATTATCAGTTGGTCGTCTATAGAATTCCAAGTAAGTCGGCCGCGGCTGTATCGAATTGCAAGTTCACACATGCCTCCATAATCACAGACGCGAGGGCTCGTCTCGGTTTCATTTTTGGTAAGGGCTGGAGAGTAAAATGGACCGTAAGGCGAGTTAAAAAATAATATAACCCGAAATTTAACGGAGGAAAGGAAGCATTGTCATAACCGGGGGTTGTGAAACTGACCCTTAACGACATTCGTTCCGGCAGCCTTAGGAGGTGGGGAGGTGGGGGCGCCTACGGGTTTTGAATTTCAATATTTTTAATCCCGGATATCATATTTGTCGGGATTTTTCACCACATATTCATTCTGGTGTCATCGCTACCCAGCGCCATGTGTTTCGATCTACTTCAACAATATTGCCAACCAACACATTTTTCCAGGGAAATTTATATAAATTTTTTCTCAATTACTTTAAGTTTAAAAAGCCGAAAAAATCATTTTTATTAAAAAGATTTCTATGCAGTTTTTGTCAAAAAATCAATATAAAATAATAAAACCTTAAAATTCTCTACTAAATATTAAAGATATCAAAAAACTACAAAACATTTTTTCTCTACAAAAAAGATCCTTATCATTCCCGATATCTCTAATCATTAAATCAGAATTCATGTTCTACCAAACCACCCCCAAAAATCCAAAACAAAACCCTAAAACTCAAAAATCTAACAACCACCCTCGCTTTATGTTTCAGAGCCAAGATGCCTGCAATGTTCGCAGTGTTCGCGTCGCCTAACATCCGCCTGGGACCTAATCCAGCACGTGCAAAGCGTCCACGGAGCAAGATTATACGGCCTGCCAAACTCCTCAGCGAACACATCATCAAACACACCGGCGCCGAGCCCACCGACGCCGAACCCTAGTCATTCCTACCACCTGAGCCCGCCGAACCACCTGAACCTCAGCGGAAAATCCACCGGAAGTTCCGTAGCGAATTCCTCCGGTGGAACAACCTCGAGTTCCAGCAGCAGCCGGCAACTTCAAAGCTCCTCCCTAGTCGCAGACCCACTACACAGTTTCCTGCGACTGCCCCAGCACTTGGAACGGAGCCTGCCCCCAATGTTCAGGCCGGAGTTCCTAGCTCTAAACCCCCTGGCGGGCTACCGAGGCCTCCAGGACCTCCAAACCGCGACGCGGAACCTCCAGAACCTCGGAGACCCGCTCCGCGCAATGGACGGGCTGAACCTCGGCGACCCTCTCGTCCGAAGTTCTCTAGACACTCTGAACAACGCCCGGAACCTGGCTAATTTAACGGAACTCTCGCACGCGCGGGGTCTCGGAACCCAGGGTCACCCACCCCAACTCGAAGCGAATCTGGATTTTTATTCGGCGCGCCTAAGGAGCCTCGCTAATCCGCCCTTAGGCGCGGCTCCAACGAATCCACCGACAAATCCCACGATCGTTTCGAATGTCGCCACCCCACAGTCCCACCAGGCCCCTTTAGCGGCCCAGCCAACTAACATCAACATCAACAACAACAGCAACAACAACAACAACAACAACAACAACAACAACCTCCAGAACTCCTCAAGCGAGTCCCACTTGTCCTCCAGCCCCACGACCCCCGCAAACCTGACAGTCCACGCTTTAACCCAAAAGGAGAACTCGCCCTGCTACAATCAGAGCCCTCCCGGGCACAACAACAACAACTCCACCGACAGTGATAAAATCAGCCATCCCCCCTCCACCCCGATAATAACAGACTCCGCAGAAACAGTCTACACTTGCGAGGTCTGCGATAAAAAGTTCCGGTTCCAGTCGAACCTAATTGTCCACAGACGCTGCCACCAGGAAAAAGACCGCCAGTTCCAAGAATCTCAGGACGGAGGCGCCATAGCACGCTGTGAAGTCTGCGAGGTCGAACTCTCGAACTTCTCGGAACTTCGCAAGCACATGCGCAAAGAACACTCGGATTCTTTGAACCCCGCGAGCCCCCAAGGCAGTGTTGAAACCGTTCCCGACGACGGTTCCAGCTGCGATGAGAATATGGACCTCGATGAGGGCGACGAGACGGATCAAAAGACCCGAACCGAGGAAGAGAACACTCCCGAAGACCTCAGTACCACTCAAGGCCAGAGTTCCGAAGAGGGCCTCCAGAGGCCCGACCAAAAGCCCAGCTTAGTCGGGGACCTTATGGAGAAGTTCGGGCTGAATAATATTGCTCAGTACTCCGAAGCCTACCGCCAGGCCCTCCAGGAGAACCACCGCGGGGGGTTCCTTAAGACCGAGAGTCCCTCGAACCTCACGAACTCCCTGAACAATAACAAAGAAAAGGACAGCGCTCTTTCTCCGAATTTTAATTCTTCCGCGACTGCGAACATTTTCTCCGGGACTTTTCCGCGCGCGGGACCCGATTTTGGAGGTTTATGGCTGCCTAGTGCGCATTATCTGGAGAACAGTGAGTTCCGGAAGGTCACCAAGGCCACCACGTCCAGTTTGGCACTCCAGGGGCTGCCCAGTCCGCTTTTAAAGAAGGAACGCCACGGCAGGAACGACACTTGCGAGTACTGCGGGAAGGTTTTTAAGAACTGTTCCAATTTGACGGTGCACAGGCGCTCTCACACGGGTGAGAAACCTTACAAGTGCGAGCTCTGTTCCTACGCATGCGCTCAGAGTTCCAAGCTCACTAGGCACATGAAAACTCACGGCAGGCACGGAAAGGACACTTACAAGTGCCGGTTCTGCGAAATGCCCTTCTCGGTTCCTAGTACGCTGGAAAAACACATGAGGAAGTGCGTCGTTGTTGTTCAACAGGGACCCAAATTGGGACTGCCCTATCCCGGGAGCCAGGACGAGGACTCAAGTCTTAGCACCAAGGACACTTGATCCTGGAGCGGCAGTCTTCCGCCGCCTATTCCGCCGCTCTGGCCCCAGCCGCCCTATACTGTTTATTAGGGACAAGTCTGATGGATATTATTTTTAGTTATTATTATTATGACGGGGTTTGAAGAAACCATTGAAGATACTTAACGATACTAAGATTAATGGTTACCACTGGAGCATCCAGAAGTATATAAATAATTTATATGTATGAAAATTATGTGAATAATAATTTTAGATACTTTAAGGTAGTTTTAAGAGATATATAAATATATAAATATAAATACATTGAAAAAAAATACACGATAGCAAGTTTATTATCGCATTGAAGATTATTTATTTAATGGTAAATATATATATAATAAATAAATATATAAATAAATGTATATTGATATTGTAGATGCGAGGATGGAATATGTAATTGGTTATTTTATTTTGTACATTGTAAATTATCGGAAGGTGTAAATTGTTTTCCGAGCGAGTTATTAATTATTAATTTATAATTAATTAATGGTTACGTTTACGGTTTATTATTAGTTACATATTAGATTTTATTTTTTGATTATTTAATTTTAAATTTATAATAAGCATTTGAGTTTTGTTTTTAATGTTGATGTAGGAAGATGCCAAAGTTGTTTTTAAAGCTCTTTTTTATCGCTATTGATTATTAATTATTATTAAGGATGATCATCGCTCCTAGAACAATTGTCATGTTTTGAAAATTGTTGGGGGATTTTGTGTGATTGTTTTTTTTTTTTTATTATTGAATATTATTATTATTACTATTTTTATAATTATTATTATTATTATTATTATTATTATTATTATTATTATTATTATTATTATTA